GTGCACATGCGTGTGAACACACCCGCCTCACGCCTGGCCTTCCAGGGCCCAACCAGGCTGGAGACAGGGGTCCACAAGCACCCCACACCAGCCCAAGTGGTCTCACCTTCATCTTCTGCTGGTGGCGATAGATCTGCCAGGCGATCTGCACGTGCACGGCACACCACCTCCCTGGCTTCTGAGACAGGACGGAAGCACTCAGTGGGGCTGGCACCACCCCCACCCATGTCTTCCGCAGACGACTCCTGTCACGGGCCCCCCGAGGCCACCCCGGAGGCACCAGAGTCTTCCCTGCCACAGGCCTTCCCAACGCACACTCACCTTGACCACCGCCCGGTACGGGTCAGACACCTGTGGAGACAGGAAAAGAGTGTTAGGTCCAGGCCCCTCAGGAGGCCGAGTCCTGGGGGTGCAGGGGACACGGCCCCTTTGCTGTGGCCACCAGCCCACCCAGGGCCGGGCCGGGGCAGGCCATCACCGGGGTGGGGACGGGTGCCCACTGACACCTACCCCAGGCGCTTTCTGCAGGAGTGTGTGAACCGCACCAGCCCGGCGGGCCACCTCAATGGGGTTTGAAGTCTGAGGGGAGAAAGAGAGAGAGAACTTGTGTGTGCGTGGGGCAGCCCAGGCAGGAGGACACCTCGGGGCTTCCTGGGTCTGGCATGGGCCTGTGCCCTGCTTTGCCTTGCTGTGGGGCCCTACACGCTGTCACCCAGGGGCAGCCTGGCCTCCCTCGCAGGACCACCACACCTTTAGCCTGCCAGTTTCTGCAAAGGTGGGAAGAAGGTGCTCTTGCCAGAGAAGGTGGGTGACCCTCCCCGGGGAGCCACCTGCTGCCAGGGCCGAGTCAGCCCCACCTGGACGAGAGTGGTGCCAACCTAGTCTCCAGTCCAGGAGGAGCTGCTGTGAGCCCGGATGGGCCAAGGGAAGACGGTCGTTTCCCACTAGGGATGCCAGGGAAAGGGAGGTCCCAAAGCAAAGACTGGCTGTCACACCACACTCCTTTCCTGCCCAGACTGGCTCAACTACCCCTTCCCTCTGGGCTCCCGCCCTGCCCAGGAGCAGCTGTGCTCAGGGTGACGCCGGGACAGATTCCTTCCCTCCCAGACTCAGGGCCTCAGTGTCCTGGCTGTCTGGGCTCAGGGCAGTGCCCCCAAGAGTCCCAGTCTGGGGGTCCCTGCTCGACATCTGCGGGTGAACCACATGCATCCCCCCTTCTCCATTCCTCCGAATTCCTCAACCACGGGGTCTGGGGGCCCAAGACCCTCTGGTGCCCGGGGGTGCCTGGTCCTCGGAAGCGCTATCTGCCTGTCCACGGGAGGGTGGTGCCCCAGGTGAGCCCAGGTGTGCGTGCTGGGGCCTTCAGGGCAGCTGTGGGCAATGAGTTGGGGGCTGCAGGGTCCTATGAGGTCAAGGGCTTGGCAGCTACTGGGGATGGCCCAGGCCCCGTCTTCAGAACCCAAGGCCCACAGGTGAGGAGGCTTCAGGACTGAGGTGTGTGCCACTCCGTGGAGGGTGGGGTTACAGCACAAGGCCGGGGACAGTGGGGAGGGTCACAGGGTTCCCTCTCCCCTGGCTGAGGTGGCACACAACCTCCTGCTGCCCAGGTCCCCCGAGGTGCGGACGGTCCCATAAGGCCTGGGTCCCCTGTGGTGCGGGCGGCCCTGTAAGGCCTGGGTTCCCTGCAGTGTGGACGGCCCTGTGAGAACCAAGTTCCTTGTGGTGTGGACAGCCGGTGAGGCTGCCGTCCACACTGGGGCCTCCTGCCAAGGACTGGAATGTTCTCCATCGAGGCTTCCACAGTGTGCCCTCTGCACGGTCCCACCACCTCCCAGGGCTGCCCCCAGGTCAGACCCCCTGCCCCTCCCACGGTGGCCACACACAGATTGCAGGGCCACCCACCCTAGCCAGGGCTGCTCATGCCAGCACCCAGATGACGACAGGTACGAGGGAGGGAAGTGGGGGTGCTTGTGGGCACAAAGTTTGGCGAGGTTGTCATGCACTCCCTCCAAAATCCCCCCACCCACTGTGCCTGCCCCACCTGCCGGGGCAGCGGTACCTTGGGCTGAAAAGCACCCTGCAGGGACCCGAAGGGGCCGGGGTGTGGGAGCAGGCTGGGCAGTCCCGGGATGGCAGGAGGGAAGGACGGGAAGAACTGTAAGAGAAGGAGAGCGGATGGAGTGGGAGGCCCAAGTCCCCACCTCACCCTCTGCCTGTAACCAGGAGGTGGGACCAACGCAGCAGGGGCAAGGCCAGGCGAGGTACGGCCCTATCCACCCACAGCCCCACCTGCCCGCCTGTAGCCAGGGCCTGCGTGCACAGCGACACGCACCGGGCCCCTTGGGGACACTCACACTCACGCTGGAATGTCGGAAGTAGGGGCTGTCCAGCTTGGGTGCGTACTTGTCAAACTGGAAGGGAAGGAGGGGAAGGTGAGGCCCCGCACACACGACACCCTCGCTGGGCCCCAGCCCCCGCCCACCTGGCCGGGCTGGGCAGTGACAGGACGGCGCTGTGCTTCCCCAGGCTGGTGGCTGCAGCCAGCCGTCCCAGGTTCCTCTAGAGCGCCAGCCCCACGGCTCTGAACTCAGTCTCAGGCCAGGGCGGCCCCTCCATTCTAAGGCTCCCCTTGCATGGGGTGGGAACTTGGGTCACTCGGGCAGTCTGTGTGCCCGGCTCAGGCCTAGGGCATGAAGCCCTGGCTGCTGGGCCGCGCTAGGGACACACCCGGTAACTGACAAACTGGCCAGTTTCCAAATAAAACTGGAGGAGACTCGAGCCCCCAGCAGCTCCCTGCTGAGACCGGGCCTCCGGGTCGGGGCACATGGGAGGCACCCTGAGTCCTGGTCCCTGTGTCCCTCAGGCCTGTCTGGGCCTCCAGCCCTGGCACTGGGATCTAGTGCGGGTGTGAGGGTGTCCCATGCACGTGGGCACGGGGTGCCTAAGTCCAGGAACACGGCCCGGGGTGGGGACCTCATGGCACGGCTTGGGGTGGGGACACCAGAGGGCACGCTGGGGACCGGACAGACGGACGGATGACAGAGAGGTGCCGCCGGCCCCCCACCTCCTCCTGGGCTGGTGTGCGTGCGAGCGTGTGTCTGCGTGTGCCTGCTGCGTGTCCCTGCCCCACACCCGCCCCCGCCCCCTGCCAGCACGCGGGCCTACGCACCGGCGGGGGTGCGGCGGGCGGCGTCGGGGGCAGCCCTGCGGGGAAGGGGGCGAATGTGTGTTGGTGCTGGTGTGTGTGTTGGTGCGTGTGCTGGTGTGTGTGCTGGTGCTGATGGAACTCCGCCCGCAGCAGAGCCCCCGGGCCCAGGGAGGCGCCAGGCCGCTCGGCGCTCTGCACCAGAAACCGCGTGTTCAGCTCTTGCCTGAGCAGCTCGTGATCTACAAGAGAAAAAGAGAGAGAGACAGAGAGGCACGTTGGCCGCGGGCTCCCGGTGGGGCGAGGCGGATAGTCACCTGGCACTCCCGGGGTCGGCAGGCCAAGCCGGGGTGGCCGCTCGCCACGTGCGGGCCCAGGGGTGCAGGTAAGAGAGGAGCCTGTGACCAAGTACCAATCAGAATCCCCGAATGAGGCTGGCAATACATGATTGGCTGGCTGAATGAGACCGACAGGCTGGCATCTAGAGGCAAGAGAGAACACGGTGAGCCCCTCCCCAGGAGCCAGGGTCCAGCCACCCCCAGGCCAGCGTCCTGGTCCCATCCCGGGACACACGGTCATCCCCAGCCTGGGCCAGGCTGACTCGGAGCCTGAGGAAGCGCCTGGGGGCCGAGGGAGGAAGCCTTCGCGGTTGGGGTTCCATTGGGATGGCGCCTGCTTGATGTGCGGTCCCCTCCTCCCAGGGCTCAGGACCCAGCAGGCTGCGGGGGAGGCCTGGCCCCAACGTGAACACGTCTGTACGTGTGCGCACATGTGTCCTGCCTGTCCCCGCACGCACACGGCCCGTGGCCCAGCAGGGACCCCTGGGGAAAGGCACACCTGGACGGACCATTCAGAGGTGCCCAGGATCCGCGGCGCCCGCAGCAGGTGGAGGGCCCGGCTGTGCGCCCCTCCCCGGTGGCTGTGTCCCCACACCCCCTACCCCTGCCCTGGGTGAGATCGCGGCCGAGACACCTACCGGCCGGGTGTCCGGGGAGGACCAGGCTGCTGGCCGGCAGCGCCGGGGGCGGGGGCAGTGTTGGGGGCGCGGCAAACATGAGATGTGTATAAGAGACAGCCACATGCATCCCCCCTTCTCCATTCCTCCGAATTCCTCAACCACGGGGTCTGGGGGCCCAAGACCCTCTGGTGCCCGGGGGTGCCTGGTCCTCG